CATTTCAAATTATACAATTTGTTTTACCTAGTTCTATTTTAACAAGAATATTTTTTTATTAAATATCTCTTTGCGCCTTCAAAAATAAAATATTATTTTTAATCTGCATCATAACACATAGGTAGTTTATTTATAAAATAAAAACCACTTTTAAGTTTAGCAAGAATGGGCAGACCTGGCCGAAATGATTTTGTGACCACGGCCTTCTTGCAGACCTTCGAGAAGCAATTTTTTTTTAGGGGAAAGTCATCTAATGACTTGTGAGAGAGTGTCAGACTCTTACTGACTACTGACTGCCTCATTGCGTTTACCCCGCAACCCCAAGCAACACTTGCGTTATGTTTCGGCAAGAGCGAAGTCCAATCTTTATTAAAAATCTTTAAATCCAACTAAAATAAATAAAAATGTGTACCTGCTAAAGAGTTTTTTCGAATTGTATTTTTATCTTCATTCTTGTGTAGTGCAGATAAAGTTACAAATTTAATGCAGCACACAATGTGTATAGTAACATTCATTTCCAAATTCAAATTTAGAATATTTTACTTTTTTGGCGCAAAATTTTCTATTGCTTACATAGATCTCATTTTTTATTGCCAACCTACTTAAAGGTACCTACATTGGAATATGGATCTGAAACAATTAGAGTACAAGTTAGGAGTGTCAGTAATTGAGTATAATACCTATCAAGACTTACCATGCCGCAGTAGTAATTGGCATTTATGACAGAAAACGGAAACATCCAATTCAAACGATCTCGCCCAACCGTGCCTGAATTTTATTTCACGAATTTTCACAAGTCAATAAATCATTTATTTCAATAATTATTTTTTTAACAATTGCTATAGTTTATTTTATAAGTCTTGCAACGTTCTAACTCAGCCTTTTCGAAGATTATTTTGAAATAACTAAGTAACTTACACGAATGTAAATGTACGAATAAAAATGAAGTAATTAAAAGTATTGCTATGCGCAAAACTCAAGAACGTCTAGATCGACCTCGATAAAAAATTTTTAATATCATTATTATTATTTTTAATTTTTATTTTATTTAATTTTATAACTATGGCGTTGACGACGATCGCATGCAAAATAAATCAGTTTATCGGCCACACAAAAGTATGACGTCACGCCTTCCCGACTCACACTTTGCTTGTTAGTGGAAATGAGTAGTAAAGGTTTTTCGTGGAACGATTAGAATCTAACCTACATGTATGCTATGACCTCTTTGCATGACCTGGGGTCAATTCGCGTGCTTTTTATGAATAGGTAATGTATAGAATGGTTGTAAAAGTCTAACAGCATAATAATATATTATAATATAACTTTACTAGATCCATGTCCGCTTTAACATAGCATATAATTGTAGCAAATACTGCTCCTATGAAGTATGGTGGTCAATATTCAGTGACCTTTACGTACTAAGAATCTCATATCTTAAAAGTTGAGCCAATAGACCACCAGAGCCCTATAGGGCTGATGCTCAGCCAGGGTTGCGAGGTAAGAGCAATGAGTCACCGCGGCCTCGGCGTAGAGTAGGAGAAGGAACGGGAGGATTTTTAGGCAGTAAGAGTCTGACACTCTCTCAGGCCTTAACCTGGGCGGGAGAGCTCATTTGATGATTTTCCTGACATAAAAAAGATACTTTCGGGATGTATATAGATAAAAATTAACATAAGTGTATTACGAAGAACGTTTATCGACGTTTGTTTTTAGACACACAAGTTCAAGGTTAGGTTATTCGAATTATTAACTCACACAGGTCAAGGAAAATATGCAAATTAATACAAGAACTTACTTTGATAAGGTGAGAGAATTAGTATAATCATGTTACAATATCATTATACAAGCCTAGTTTCGCTAGTTTCCCACTGAACCCTAAGGCTAAGAACTCACGGAGCGATTTTGAACCGTGCCCGCCGCGGTAGCAAAACTGCGGTTTTATTCCCAAACTCACGAGACCGGTTATTTGCGCGGTTACACAGCCGCCGCGGTTGCGATCATCGCCCGCAAACGTGGCGGGCGATGATCGCAAGATTGCAAGACGGGCGGTTAACGATCAGTTGAGGTCCAGACCGCCATGGACACACACCAGAAACGAGCCGTTGCATTATATTTACTTCACAGAAGACCCGCCGGCCCCCGCGGTCGCTCGCCAACCGATCGCAAAGCGCGCGGGTGCCACCCGCCGAGGCTGCGGGTAACCGCGGCCCGCGCGATTCTACTAGTTGCCCGCCGTTACAGCGGGAGCCGCATACAACCGCGTACACCGCGGGCGTAAAACGCGTCGTGAAATGTGCTTTAATTTTTTATATAAATATTTGAATTCTACAGAAGCTGCGGGCCCGCAACCGCAGCGGACGCGGGCGGAAATCGCTCCGTGAGTTCTTAGCCTTAGGTTGACTGGCAGAGAATGCCATATGACATAAGTCAGCCTTATGTACCTTTGTTTATCATGTATGCATTGAAGTATAAATTAATAAATAAGTAGGTAGCTACAGTTTCATAGAAGGTTTACATGTCTTGTGGTTTCCCCTCATCCCATTACAAAAGATAAATAAACAAGGAAACGCTTATTATTGCGGGTTACATCATTTCAACCGAGAACCTTACATGATTGCGGTTTGTATTGACTCAAAGGTTGAAAAAAGGTGTAAAGGACAAACTAGGTTTCCGAGATAGGTAAATTAATTGCTAATTTGGTGACTAAGGAAGTTGTTATTGCAAACAGTAGAACATTACCGTTTTAAAGGGGAACAATCATCCTTCCAAAAAAGGTGGTGGGGAGAGCTGGGAGTCTATGTATTACTGACTAAAAACAATTTCGATTCTTTTACTCTGGATCAAGCCGCGGCTCACTATAACGCTAGCACTCGTAATCATGGCTAGCTAGCTACATGTTTTTATAATATCTATCGTGAGACATACTAAATTAACTAAAATTCGCGGGTTACTCACGTGTAAATGAGGGGGAGAGGGGTTCTTCCTCATGAGCAGGGTGCGCGGACGCGGCGACGTCGCGTCAGTAGGCTGCGCGACGTCGCCGCGTCCCCCGTAAGAACCCCTCTGTGGTTCGAAACTAGTAGAGCTTTTCTCAACATTTACACGTGAGTAACCCGCGAATTTTAGTTAATTTAGCTAGCTACATATTATCTGAATGAAATGTAAAATGAATATTAAAAATGTGGCTAATGTGCCGTAGTTTGGCATCACACAGCTTGCGTTCCTTTTGCTAGCTAGCCGCGATCTGCGCACAGGCAACGTTTTAACATAAAAATGAACGCCAGAAAACGCATACGACACGAGATAAAGATTCTAAAACTAGACAGCATTTAATTTTTTTCTACTTTTTTTAAATTTAATAATTCAAAAAAAGAATAACAGGAAAACTACAAAACGTCTGGTTGGTTTCGTAAATTTAAACAATAAAAATAGAAACAAAAAACTAAGTTTTATTGTTACAGATGCAAATTCTTGTTTTTTTTTATAGGTACATTTGTTTTGTATTTGCGACAACCTTGCATTCAGCCTTGTAAGGCCTCTGCTTTGTCTTATTATCACCTGTGTACTGACTGTTACATCATGATACTTGATGACGTTCCAAACAGATTTTTTGAATACTTTATCAAAATGTTAAAAATGGAATATTCAAAAGCTTAGTATGAATTTATTTTTTATAAAAAAAGGCCAGTAAAAATAGGCGTTTTGATTGGAGAGAATGCAATTTAAACTTTATTAAAACAATTTTAGAATATAAAATCCTCAATAAAGTACATACGATGCTTGAATGCTTATTAATACAAAAAATCTGTATGATTATCGACTTTTTGGCCACTAATTAGACACCGTTTTTGTGGTCAGATTACCTTGATCTTTAGTTCAGGTTGAATGTTCTTGACATTGTTTAAATTCTACGAATCTACATCAAACGACTTTTGCGTTATATAATTTTTAAATTTATACTTTATGAGTTCAACGCTCAAGCCAATATATTTTTGGACGAGTTACAAAACGATGTGTGCTATAAAAATGTGATAAAATCTTCAAACGAAATTATGATTTCAATCATTCACGTTTTTATAAACACATTTTCAAAAACCTTGATATTTTGATCTGTGCAAACATTTTCTTGTATTTTTTGACTGTTCTCTAATAAGAAGCTTCTGGAAATAACATGATGTTTTTTCTACACAGATTGTTGCTATACCGGTTATTTCTTAAAATAAAATTTAAAAAATCGGTAGTGTATCCACTTATTTATTAATAGTTATACAAATAGTAAAAATAACAACCGGACTGTAGGTAGTAACTAAAAAAGATTAAATTTCGTATTTTTCAATATAAAGGTTTAGGTACTTTAGTTACGAAACTAAACAGAATTGTTAAAATCAAATCATACATGTTATTAAATATTTTTTATCGTAATTATTTTACTTGGTAAGATCTGGAACCTATACATAATATAAAACTATTCGTCAGTTTTTTCTATTGCTGACAAAAAAAATATAAACGCTCATCATGACAGTCGTAAAATAACACGAAAATGGTAAATAAATAATCATTATTTCTTAAGGCGATTGGCGCTCATATGTATCAGTCGGAATCGAGTATCAAAATGGTTTTGTCGCGCTATACGTTGTATACTTTATTCACTATAGGTAGTAGGCGTGGGCTATAGGTTGACTATAGTCGGTCAGTCGAAAATAAGTGAAGTGTAGTGTAGGTGCCACGTGCCGGTAGTATCGAAGCGAAAGCCCACACTGTGACTGCTTCTCATTCGCATTACGCAATAATCTGTTAAACAAACGTGCAAACAGCGACACTGACAATAAGACCGGTTTAAGAACCTATTTTTGTTACTATTGTGGCCGGTCATTAAGATTACGGACGTGTGAGTGTAAATTTAATACGGCAATGTTAGTTCAGCAGCGATAACAAAAGGCGGACGACGTGTTTCGAAATTTCGAATCGAAAATATTGCAAAAACCGCGGGAAGTGTTAAAAAAAATCAATTTGACGTTTCACGTTTCCATATTCGAATTTGACAGTTGTTATAAAATAGTGTTGTGCGTGTGGTTAAGAAGAGGTACAATTTTATCGTGACTTTGAAGACGGGAGTCTGATACGGTGAATGAAACTCTTATCAGTGTCTCCGTGCGTGTGATAAGGATTAGTGACAGTTCGACCATAAGTCATAACACACGTAAGACTGTTTACCTTATATACTAAGTGGTTTGAAATCGATATCGCTAATCCGATACATGAATAAAACATAAAGGAAGGAACACGCTACGCCCTGTTATGTTAGTTCAATAAGCCAGTTAAATAGTTTTTAATTGTGCGTGTAATTTGAAAGTGAACCGTTTGCATTGAAAACACCAGTGCTCGATCTTTAACGGTAAGATTATTGTTTGTTTTATGTTGGTAATTGTTATTCAAGATTTTTATTTGCATAATATGAATATCTTAGTGATCTTTCCTTATGTATTGTAGAACAATATTACATAAATTGAAGTGCCTCGCTTCCTTATCTGTAACAGCTGTTAAGTGCCGTCAGAGTTGGTTTATATTTTGTAGGTATTAGTGCAACTGAATGTATGCAAATACTTATACTATAACTTCTTGGATATAAAATATTTTACTTTCGCGTCCATTACGTTTTATGGGTCACCCTTCACCTTACTGAAGTGTAAAACCTAGTCCTTTTAATTAAACGGCTAGCAGAACTAGTTTTTTATTTATATTTTTTTCTTTACGTATACCTCAGACTGGGTTGGTTGCAGATTACTTTTATGATTTTGGTGACCTCACTGCAATTTATTCAAATCCTAGGTGGGAGATGACCCCTCTAAAGAGAGGTAATTTTATTTAACATTTGCATTTGAGCTGATGATGATGATGATGGTGAAATTATGATTTAAATAAAAAATATTTCATTAATATTTCATGACACATCTTTTTAACGACTTGCTATCTTAGAAAACTGTTGCTAGCCTAACTGTTCTCAAGGATTTACTTATGAAGTACCTATTTCGAATAAAGTATCTATTGTTATAAATCAACCTACGTTTAGTTCGCACAAAATATTACATACTAACATATTAGCTTTAAAGTATTTAATTATTTGGTATTGATTATTTTGAAATCACGCGAAGTAGTCTTTATATATAATTGTCGCGCACTATCAATTTCCCCGATATGCAGTTATCTGTTCCAATGAGTAATTTAATATAATTATGCCAGTATTGATAATGTTAATTCCAATTTTGATATCGGTTTCCTACTGGGAATCGTATACCTACATATATATTTTTAAATTCAGAATATTATCTTAAATGTATTATAATTTAAAATGTTCATCTCTTTGTTCAATGCATTATCAGTTACATAATATAAATGGTCCATTTGGAAAATTCCGTTTTGTCTGTTTATCTTATGATTTCCAAGAAAGCGGAAGCGAAAATATTTTCAAACATCAGACACGATTCCACAGGCAATGAGTTACTTGTCTAAACTAAAAAGTTGTCTGAGTTATTAATACATAATTGATTCAATAATTTTGAATATCAAAATATTTACTACTTGTACTTAGAATACATACAAGAAAATAGTATCAGATCGTGATCTGTTTATATTACACCTCATATGAAATGCGTTCCAATCATAATGTCAAGCATTTAAAAATAAAATGGTCCTAAAATAGACCCCTGTGGAACTCCAAAGGGAATGGCTACTTGAATGTCCATTAGGAGAAAGAATTTACACTATAATGTTCAAAATGGTAAATTTGCGGTATCAATGCCTTCTTAAACCTAAACAGATTTACTAGGCAATTTCATATAGGTGTTGTTTCTCTCAATACGTGATTAAATTGTTACATCATCTTCTATGAATCCAATAAGCATAATAGGCATTTTCCTTCTAACACAATGCTAGTAATAGCTCAAATTATAATGAGTTAACTTTCCGGCTTCGCCCTGTTCCGGCAAAATATAGCATGCTAAATTGCATTTGCAGTAAGTACAATAAATGAAGTTAAACGCATTTAGGTATAAGGAAAATGCTTCAGTTAGCCAATTTTTGCAACGGTTCAAACACGTTCTTCATTATTAAGTTTTTGTTATATCTATAATGCATTAGGTACATAAAATTATTTAATCTTATCGGAACCAACAAAAAATAATCGATATTGGCCAAGCCTTAGCGATTTTCTGTACGGAAATATTACTTTGCGTACACGCATCCAAGATATAAACACAATCGATTGATCAATCGTAGGAGTGGTTTCCCAGAATAGCTTACGGTAAAAATTCCAAGAAACGCCCAAACGATGGTAGTCGGTCACTATAAAAGTGTGCGTTACTAAAGCAGGGAGTATTTGAAGACCTCTAGTCTCTGCTAATTATTTAATTGTGGTTATTCCTTGTGACTAGTACGTGTCAATCTTCATTGTCTCCAAGGTATGTAGCACATTTCCGTTTAAGCTAAGATAAGGAAAAATCTTTTTAATATTTTGTTGCTCGACCTGCAAATGAGATGTAATTATGCTATTTGTTGTCGTTGGAATGTAACTGAATGATCACCTATTGATTATTTTGTAGTATTTACGTACTTTTTGTGTTCTAGGAGATGTTTTTTTTTATATTTTCTTTTTTTACTTTATTATTTTTTTGTTTATACAGTGTTTTTTATTACGGTGAGAAAACCAAGAGTAATTTATTAAAAAAAAACCTATTATTAAATTACGAAAACAGATTACCTTTTATATCAACAGGTAATTTTTTTTTTGGTTTTTTGACGTTAAATGATGGTATAATATAGGTACCAGGATATTGTCTTGTCTATTACAATTTCTATCAATTCAGGTAGTTTTATTGAGAAGTTTAAGATGTTCTTAGATTTGTGTTTCTTTATAGTTTAGTACGTTTATTCGTATAATTGCCTATGTCACTTGTATCCTACATTACATGGTACCATTGTCCTATAAATTGCTTCCACGAAACGTGCCCCTCCTTTTACCAGTGTGACCCTGTGGCGTGACCGATATTCACTTTAATTGATGTAGCTACGAAATAAATGTTAAACTGTAGACCTTATTGCGCTTTCAGAAGAGTGATTTTAGTTTAATTGCAGAGTTGCAGAAACTTTTTTTTGTCACAAAATTTATTATTGTAATAATTATTGAACTACAGTTTAAGTGGCGATTATTAAGCAAAAACATATTTTAAGACTTGTAGATATGTCATCGGTTAATTGGTGAATTGACTAAAAACATATTTAGTGCAAACAAAAATACTTTACTTTATTTTTTGTTAAAAAAATTCATTTAGTAATTAAAATTAAAATCAATTTAAACACATATTATATTTTTGCCAAAAAAAAACTTTTTTTTTATTTCTTTCACGTTTATTTTAAGAACCTTGTGAACCTTTTAAATGCTTACATAGCAACAAGACGTGGTTTTCGAATTGTTTATTGTTTAGTTAACCATAAATTCATAGAAGATTGAAGGTCGTAGTTCAATTTATTTTTTTCTTAACGTGCTAATTTGAAAAAACTATATTTATATTCTGCGTGTCTGTATTGACTTTTGTAGTCTGATGTCTAAAACAGATCGATTATTGTTGACCTGTGTTTTGGTAAGTCTTTGAGTAAGTATTTAGGGAACAGAAAATTTAGTTCGCTACTACCGGAAAAGGAGGATCCTCCGACTACGCGAGGTGATCATCGATGTCGGGATTTTTGTACTTGTTCTTTGCGCCGAGCCGCGCCGATCTTTTATACCGCGATGTAGGATCTTGAACGTCATTGATGCTATTGCTACATTTGGGCGATAGATGTCGCTACAAGTACATTCTTTTTAAAGTTACAGTATGTACTAACCTTCAATTGTTAAACTGCTCGAGTCTTATTTCACAAAATTAAAAAACTTATTCATCATTAAAAAAATATATGTTATATTGTAAAAGACAAAACTAAATATGCGGGTCAAGCGTCTTAATGTACCGGGACCTCGGCATTGAGCAGGAGAAGGAACGAGGTGGTTTCTAGCCAGTAAGAGTCTGACACTCTCTCTCGCTATACCCAGGACCGGAGAAGTCGTTTCACGATTTTCCCTCCTCAAAAGAAGTGTGTTTTTTAGAATTTTTTGTCTTTTGTTTGTGTGTGTCATGTCTTGTATTTTATTGCATTTCTTTGTTTTAATTTTCTCCTGTGTCGTGGGTGCGTTTACAAACATACAATTTCACATACAAATCACACCCAGACCCGAAACAAGAATTTGTGGATCACACAAAGAGTTATTCCGTGCAGGAATAGAACCCGCGTCACGTTGCGCGGCGGCCAGTTGCCCTGCCAACGCGCCAACCGTAACATTTACTTACTAAAAATCGAAGTAGATTCAAATTTATGATATGTATCATCTAGGTATTTAATAAAATTTTGGCACGCGTTTGCAATTTTCAAAGGTTAATGACCACGAAGTATTTCTAATAAAAGCATCCAAGGTCGCATTGGTTTGCAATAGGCAAGTTCTTCGAATACAATTCGTTTTTTTGGAACACTAGACACATAGGTACGAAAGCTGTAAGTGATGATATTTATCATCTTCAGATTTTCCTCGATCATTTTCGTAATAAGTATTATTGACGTTAGTGCGATGCTTGGGCTACCGGCTGCCTGCTGATCAACACTTTTTGTCATTATTATCATTCATCAGCCTATACTTAAGCGTCCACTGCTGAGCCGAGCCTCTTCTCCCACGGAGAGGATTTGAACATCAATCACCACGCTTGCTGAAGGATTGGCGATTTAAGCGTGACATCTGCTCGTTTGCCGACATACAACATAAAAAAACCGCAATCCACCCGTGCGAAGCTGGGGCGGGTCGCTAGTTTAGTACAAATGTCTCACAATAGTACTACTATTCAAAAATGTAATAATGTGTGATTTTGAACCATACTGTACTGTATAGTACATTGATTCTCATGGGCTGATGGTGATAATTGAGTACTAAGTTTGTTTCAAATACTAGTAATACTACTAACAGGCCTATGGAAAAATTGATTGATTGACGGCGACTTGTTTAGTAGTAGTAGGAAAATTTGTTGTAATCGAATATATTTAAGGTAAATTTTAAACAAAGACATGCGGTCTGGTATAACATTCTCCTCTGGAGAAATTTTCTTCTGGTATCTAGGAACTTTATTTTGAGGGATTAAAATCCAATTTCAAATGCATTTGGTCGCCCCGGGTGAGGTGAGGTCCTTCTGCGGTGGCTGGAGGACGTGGGGATGAGGAGATTTTAGTGTCGCGCTCCGCCTCCGTCTTTGTAAGCATGACTGTTTTGCAAAAGTAGGCTTCCCAATTCCTGTCGCTCTGGACCATGCCCCACCCCCA